GTACAGTAGTCCCCCTTATCTGTATATAATCTACACACACCCTCCTGTACACTTTAAATCATCTGTAGATTAGCCTGTCTGTGGCCAGTTACGAACCTGCCCACACAGCAGGGCAGGAGTGAAGCTCAGCTCCACCTCCTGTCAGATGAGCAAGGCATTAGATTCTCATAAGCCCAAAGCCTACTGTGGACTCACATGAGAAGGATCTAGCTTGAGCACTCCTTATGAGAATCTAATGCCTGGTCATCTGTCACTGTATATATTACATTTAATAACATATACGTATATGGATTATATATTACAATGCAATAATAATAAAGTGCACAGTAAATGTAATGGTTTGAGTCATCCTGAAACCACCACCACCCACCCCTCCACCGGTCCACGGAAAAACTGTCTTCTACAAAACTGGTGGTCCCTGGGGCCAAAAGAGTTGGTGACCTGCTGCACTAGAGTTCTTAGAATATAAGGGAAGATAACCGTTTATAAAAAGCTGCTTATGGAATGTTCCAAAGGCAGAGGACACAAACTTTCAAAAAACTATCTCCCACTATGCAATAAATGTCTCTTCCTCCACAATCTGATTTTACCCTCACTGTTCAACCACATTATGCCAAAACCCCCATGAGCACTCTCCAACCTAGTCACACTATCTCTCACTCACCACCGTGTGACTGTTTTCACATCCAGGTGCAGCAGTGAGCTCTTTCTCAAGGATGGCCCATCACCTGCAATGCTCTTCTGGAAACCTCCCTGTGCCTCTCTCCATTTAAACCCAGTGTTCTTCTGGAGGCCCAGCTGATGTCTGATTCACCCCATGATTCATTTGCTTACTCCAGCCTGCCTCTTATCCACATCTCCACAGTTCCTATGTGGGTTCTATAATACATAATTCAACATCTCACTGGAATCTTACGTTTTGTTCTCGACACTCAACTAGATCATAAACTCCTGAATAGAAGACCACTTCTTTCAATTTTGTATCCCCCTCAGTACCTAGTACCAAAGGATATACACTAGTTAGCTGATAAATCCTCTTGATAACCAGAAATGCAAGCATACCCTTTAGCCTGGCAACTGCGTTTCTAGAAATTTACACTAGTAAAACTCATATAAATATAAAATATAGTATCATCAAAGATATGCATTGTAGACTGTGATAGTAAATTAGAAGTAACATAAATGTCTATTAAGACTAGTGAGGCCAGGTACAGCAGCTTACACCTGTAATCCCAACACTTTGGGAGGCCAAGGTGGGAGGACTGCTTGAGCCCAGGAGTCAGAGGTTACAGTGAACGATGATCACACCACTGCACTCTAGTCTGGGCAACAGAGCAAGACCCTGCCTCTAAAAAAAAAAGAAATAAAAAAGAATGACCAATAATTTGAGTCCACACTGCTCATTAAAAAAACAAAACACTTGGAATATGTATACACATAGACATAACAAAATAGTAGGTGAAAACAGCTGCAGAAAATCGAATAGTCCTATTTTTGTTTATTCATACAAAATTTTAAAAAACACATAAATTTTTAGATTGATGATGTCTGGTAACTAGGATACACTTTTTACTTAGTTTGAAAAAAAATGAACAAAACACACATGATGTTTGTAGTAACAAATATTTATGTTTTTAACTCACTGCCCCCAGACAGTAAGTTATAAAACAATTTATAATATGAACCCGTTTTGTTTAAAGTAAGAGAAATAACAGTTATTCCTGGAAAAGGAAGTACAGAAAACTTTCACATTTTAGAGTAGATAGTTGTTTTTCCTTAAATAATGGGCAATTACTTTAATTACAAAAAAACAAAAATTTTTACAAAGAATTCCATTTTTTTCTGGGCTAGTGATCATTCCAGAGGGATAAGTATTTTTGGTCCAGAAAACTTTTCTTAGCTACTCCTTAATCTGTAGAGAACTACCTTTATTGTTGGATTGCCCACTATACTAAATCTCAATAAGCATTACGGATAAATCTTTCCACCAAATCAAATTCACAGAAGATGTTATCAGAAAAACTTCTCTGCCAGGTGAGTATTAAACATTAAATCTATTTGATAAATGGAATCTCTCCAATGAAAAATTAACCTCAAAAATTTAATGAATTATTGTAAAAGACCCAGCATTAAACTGGCCCTTACAGTAACAGTTCTGTTGTTAAATACCTCATACATATCCAGAGTAATCACAAACTTGCCCAAGTCCCTGTTTCAATGCCAAACTAGAGATAAGACAAGAATCCTACATAGTTTTAACCATAGAAACAACAGGAGAAAACTGTGAGAAACACCCAAGGGAGCACTGGATTCTGTCCCCTGGATCTGTACTTCATAATATATCACCATTCCCCTACGGGCCTTGCTCCAATGTGGAATTTACAAAGCAGTCAAGGCCTTCTCCACTAAGCCTCTAAAAAAATCAAAGGAGGCAGAGCTATCTGCTCCCTCCTTTTCCATCTCAGCATCCACCCTGAGATTCAACTGTCAGTTTGCTTTCCCCTCAAACTTCCTGCTGAATAGCTTACAGCTATTGAAGCTAAGTGCTTGCTGTGTACTAATTCATTTATACACATAATAATCCTGTGATGTGTTCCTATTTTACAGATGAAGGAACGGAAGTACAGGTACATGGTCAAATAAGTATTAAGTGGCAAAGATAGGATTTAAATCCGGATACTCTAATTCCACAACACAATCTTTATTCCGCAGCACTCAGTATCTCTGATATACTTCTTTTAACCTAAAAACCATTAGAGATCTTCAGACAGTAAGGCTCTTAGGTTTCAGTAACAAATCTGGAAGTCAAAAGATCACCCAAATCACATGTTTGCTCTGGAATATGCTGTTTGTTTGTCCTCCTGAAGCTGGATAAATGAGAACTAGGAAATTTGCAAAATGTGCTTGCCAATGCCTTTTGGGGGTTTTTTGGCTTTTGTTTTTGTATGGAGAAGAAGTCTCTGTTTCCCAAGCTGGAGTGCAGTGGCATAATCTCAGCTCACTGCAACATCCACCTCCCAGGTTCAAGCAATCCTCCTACAATTCTCTCACCTCAGCCTCCAGAGTAGCTGGGATTACAGAAGTGTGTCACCACACACAACTAATTTTCATATTTTTAGTAGAGACAGGGTTTCCCCATGTTGGCCAGGTGGGTCTTTAATTCCTAATCTCAGGTGATCCTCTCACCTCAGCCTCCCAAAGTGCTGGGATTACAGCCATGAGCCACCACGCCTGGCCTTTTTGTTTTTTTTTTAAACTCTTAAAAATCTGTTTAAGGTAATAAACACTCAACATTTTAACCTAATAAAATAATAACCAGGTTAAGATTCTAGTTCTGTAACTGTTTTATTTCACCAGTAAAATCAGACATAAACATGTATATAAAGCACTTAGCATGACTGGGTGTGGTAGTTCATACCCATAATCCCAGCACTTGGGAGGCTGAAGCAGGAGAATGGGATCACTCGAGCCCAGTAGTTTGAGACCAGCCTGGGCAACATAGGGAGACCCCTTCTCTACAAAAAAGTTAAAAATTAGCCCAGTGGGGTAGTGCACACCTGTAGACCTAGCTACTCCAGAGGCTGAGGTGGGAGGATGGCTTGAGCACGGGAGTCAGAGGCTGCAGTGAGCCATGATGGCACCACTGCACTCCAGCCAGGGCGACAAAGCAACACCCTGTCACAAACAAAAACACGACTCGAGAGTAAGGAGTCAATGTCACCTACTACTCCGAGCCTGTGGGAAAACACAAAAGTTAAACTCAATGCCCTAAACAAGACTCATGAATTCCTGTTTACGGAAAACAAATGTAAACATTTAAAAAACGATGCTTTCTGTTTAAATATGAGTTATAAACAAGAAAATAAAAACTAATGGTTAATTAAAAATAACATTACCAAATTATCACACAGAAGTTAATTATTACACAAGAATGAATGCTACTAACAATTAACCTGCCTCATAAACTCATTCATTCCATCTGTTTCCACGTGAAGTACCTGAATGTCTTAAGTTTTTTTTTTTTCCTCTTTCCTGTGTCATTCCTTTTCTTACTTTTGGCAATGAGGTAATAATCTTTGCTTTCCTTCTTTCTTCCACGCACCCCTCACACAATGTATCCCTTATCTAATTATGTGCTTGAAGTTCCACAGACCAATGTAGAAACAGGGCGAGAATTGAATTCTCCCCCACCTGGAAATTACTTCACGGCTGCAGTTAATTTGCAACCCAGTTATACTCGAGATGGCGCCAGCCCATTCACCAGATGAGGCAATAACCCAAGATAAATCATCTGAGCAAGTCAGGTAGACTGGGACCCCAGCGCCCCAATACCGAGCTCCCCTTTTTAAGCCCTTGCATTTTATCCCAATTTGAAATGGTTTCTTTAAGGCAGGGGTCTGGACCACTTCCCCACTGCTAACTTTGGAAAACAGCCACTTTCCTTTCTGGGCACTTCGTCCTTGTTGATTGGCTCTACAACCAGCGAGCAGCCCAGCCTGCGCTAGGTTACACAGCAATTTCAAATTTTAGAAGAATAAAAAAATCCTGTGATATACATTGGAAGCACTTGATATAGCCACTGACCAATCTTTTATTGGGTAGGCTCGGGGCACTTTCAATGGATTAAAAACGCATCACGGACAGGCAACGATGACCCTCCTTAATGCCTGCAACGTCTAATGCTCCGCTCTGTTCCAGACGGGTTCGCGCTGCCGGTGGAGGTGACAGGTAGCGCTTACTGGGCTCCAGGCGGACCACACACAACCACAGCGTGTCATTTCGTCCTCGCAGCAAGGACTGACACTACGCTCCTGTTTCAGATGAGGAAAGTGAGGCCGGCGAGAGGCTGAGGGATATGCTTAGCGGGTCAGAGCTAGGAAATCAGGGGCAGAACCCAGCCCGGACACCACGCCGGCTCCAGAGCCCCGTCCTTTCGACCTGTTCCGGTCGCTGAGGACGGGCACGCCAGTGACACTAAAACGTGTAAAGGAATACAGTACCAGTGGAAAGCAGGGGCTCCAACGGGGTAAAGGCACGCTCCATAACGGATTATTGGCCTCTGCATTTAAAAAAAAAAAAAAAAAAAAAAAAAGTAAAGTTAGACTTTCTCAGTTCGAATTAAACATCGCGCGAAACGCACAGCACGCGAGACGCCTGAACCCGGCACTCGGCAGCGCGCTCCGGGACCGACGAACCCGCTGGGCGGCGGCGCGGCACCCGGCGTGGGAGACCCGCCGCCGCTCGCCCGCAGTGCTGCCGCGGGCGGGGGCCCCCCGGGAGCGGCTGTGAGGTCTTAGGGTTTGCCCCTGCGGCCCTCCCCACGGGCCCGTCCCCATCCGGGGCCCTGGGGAGCGAGGGGCCGCCGCCCCCCGCCGCGGCCGGCAAGCCCGGCGGCAGTCGCACTTACACAATGGCGGGTGGAGCCACAGAGCGGGGAAGCGCAGGCTGCGGGAGCGACGGCGATCGACCGCTCGGCGCGCGGCTGAGCGGCCCTGGCTCGCAGGTTTTAGCCCGCGGGACGCGAGGTGGCCCCGCCCACTTCCGGGAGCCGGAGGCGCCTGGGAGACGCTCCCCGTGCTCTGCGTCCCGCGCCCCCTGCCTCGCGTCTCCACCGCGGCGTTTTCCGAGCTGGTTCTTAGCTGCGGTAATGCCGCCCGGCCCTCTGCACGGAGGCCGTCTGCTCGAACCTAAGTGGCGAATTCCCCCGTCACCCATGCTTAACCTGGCTTCCGAGGTAAACAGACCGCCCACAGCGCTGCTTCTAGTCCTGCTTGCTGCGTCCTTCCCGGGCCGTCTGGTTAAAAGCGTTCCTTCCGGGCCGGGCGCAGCGGTTCACGCCTATAATCCCAGCACTTTGGGAGGCCAAGGCGGGCAGATCACGAGGACAGGAGTTCGAGACCAGCCTGGCCAGCATGGTGAAACCCCGTCTCTACTGAAAAACACAAAAAAGTAGTCGGGCGTGGTGGCGCGCCCCTGTAGTCCCAGCTACTCAGGAGGCTGAGGCAGGAGAATCGCTTGAACCCGGCAGGCGGAGGTTGCGGTGAGCTGAGATCTAACCACTGCACTTCAGCCTGGGCGGCAGAGCAATACTCCTCTCTCTCCAAAAAAAAAAAAAAAAAAAAAAAAAAACCTTTCCTTCCGTAGGGAACACTTCATTAAGAGCTTTCCTTCCTTGCTTTGTGGAAAGAGAATTTTTTTTTGTTGTTGAAAGAAACTTTAAGCCACCTATCTGCCATTGCAAAAGCTCACTCTTGCAGTACAGGCTTTTCCAATACTGAGCAAGCCTAGTCTCCCCGAAAAGTTATTTCTTAGACAAATTTTCTCCCGCTGTACCTGCTACTCTTCTTCCTCCATTATAAAGGAGGCACAACCTCACCTCTGCCGTCTTAAGGTCTCCACCTGGGCCTAACTAACAGGTTAAATTGATGTAAGACATCAATTTAACAGGAGAAACGCTTACAGCTATGTGCGTGGGAGTCCACAAGAAATGACCCAAAAAAGTAGGAAGCCTAAATGCTTACATACAGTTTTAGCTACAACAAATCTCAAAAGTCCATGTTTCGATATGACCTTAAGGAAGCTATCTGCACACGTAATAGACAAGCGGTTGCTGTATTTATCTACCAAAGAGTTACCGGTTGGTGTGTCCAGGTTCTTGGCATCTTGAACAAAGAACTGGACAAAACCCACAAACAAACCAAGGAAAGAAGGAAGCAACAAAAGCAGAGATTTATTGAAAATGAAAGTACACCCCATTGGTTGGGAGCCCCAGAGCACATGGGCACAAGAGCCCCGTTAGAGAATTTTCTGGGGTTTAAATGCCCTCTAGAGGCTTCCGTTGGTTAATTGGCATATGTCCCATGTAAACGAAGAGGATGAAGTTACAAAATGTTACTGGGTGGAAGCCATCTGTAAACGGAGACGATGTTTCCTCTCATTGCCGCAGTGTTTCCATTTGACTTAGTTCCAGGAAGTCAGCGTGAATCGGCCTTATGTTTCCTGCCTCCAGACCCTATTCTCCTGCCTCAGAGCTACATACATATTTATTAGTAAAAGGCAAACCAGAAAAATTATGACTAAAGCTATAAACAGGAAAGGCAAATTATAGACTGTAGTCAGATGGCAAAAGCCAGTATTCAGAAAGCAGTCTTCAACAATGAATTCAATGACAGATTGTAACCGATTTTTTAAGTAGTAATAAAAATTTACACTTTACTGACCAATTAATATGTTCCAGTTAGTGTTGAGGGGTTTTATATTTTATGTAATTACCCTAAAATGTAGGCTCCAGGAGAACAATGACCAAAATTTAACTGTTTGCCTTTGAGTCCTCACTCTGGCAGGTTACTTGTTGATTTGTCTCCTCCTACCAGAGAGCTAGCCCCCTAAGGCCAAGAGCCATGTCTGTTTCCTTCCCTGTTATTTCTCCAGCCTCACAGTGTGTCTCACTGAGAGAAGTTCAATAAATGCAAAATGGATTAACAAATAATGGAGAAAAACGGAGAATTATGGTACTTCATACCAGGAACTACAGGCATCCCTCCTTTTATTGTGTTTAGCTTTACTGTGCTTTACAGATACTGCATTTCTTAAAAATTGAAAGTTTGTGCCAACCCCGCATCAAGCAGGTCTATCTGCAACATTTTTCCGAAAGCATGTACCTGCTTCATGTCTCTGCGTCATACTTTGGTGATTTTCACAATGCTTCAAACACTTTCGTTAATATTATATTTATTATTGTTATCTGTGATCGGTGGTTCTTGATGTCATCTTTATAATTGTTTTAGGGTGCCATCAGCCGTGTTCTTATAAGATGGCAAACTTAGTAGATAAATGTTGTGAGTATTCTGACTGTCCTAGTACTGGCTGTTCCCCTTTCTCTCTCCCCTTGGGCCTCCCTATTCCCTAAGACAAAACAATATTAAAATTAAACCATTTGATATCATTACAATGGCCTCTAAGTGTTGAAGTGAAAGGAAGAATTGCATGTCTCACTTTAAATCAAAAGCTAGAAATGATCAAGATTAGTGAGAAAGTTTTGTCAAAAGAAATCTAGGCTTGTTGTACCAGTTAACCAGGTTTTGAATGCAAAGCAAAAGTTCTTTAAGAAAATTGAAACTGCTATTCCACTAAACACACATGTAAGAAAGATAAACAGCTTTATTGCTATGAAGAAAGTTTGAGTGGTCCGTGGAAAAGATCCAACCAGCCACAACATTTTATTGAAGCAAAGCCTAATCCAGAGCAAAGCCCTGATTCTCAGTTCTCTGAAGGCTGGGAGAGGTGAGTAAACTGCAGAAGAAAAGTTTGAAGCTGGCAGAGGATCATGAGGTTTAAGGAAAGAAGCCATCTCCATAACATAAAAGTGCAAGGTGAAGCAGCAAGTACTGACAAAGAAGCTGGTACAAGTTGACCAGAAAATCTAGCTAAGATTATTGATGAAAGTGGCCACACTAAGAAATAATTTTTCAGATGGAGATGAAACAACCTTCTATTGGAAGAAGATGACATCTTAGACTTTCATGGCTAGAGAGGAGAAGTCAATGCCTGGCTTCAAAGCTTAAAAAGGACAGACTGACTCACTTGTTAAGGCCTAATGTAGCTGGTGGTTGTCAGTTGAAGCCAATGCTTGTTTACCATTTTGAAAATCCTAGGGCCCTTAAGAATTATGTTAAATCTGACCAGGCATGGTGGCTCCTGTCTGTAATTCCAGCACTTTGAGAGGCCCTGGCGGGTAGCTCACAAAGTCAGGAGTTTGAGACCAGCATGACCAACATGGTGAAACCCCGTCTCTACTAAAAATACAAAAATTAGCCAGGTATAATGGTACACGCCTGTAATCCCAGCTACTCAGGAAGCTGAGGCAGGAGAATCGCTTGAACCTAGGAGGCGGAGGTTGCAGTGAGTCGAGATCACACCACGGCACTCCAGCCTGGCGACAGAGTGAGACTCTGTCTCAAAAAAAAGAAAAAAGAATTATGCTAAATTTTAGGACAAATACCTAATGCATGTGGGGCTGAAAACCTAGATGACAGGTTGATAGATGCAGCAAACCACCATGGCGTATGTATACCTCTGTAGCAAACCTGCACATTGAGCACACGTATCCCAGAACTTAAATTTTGTGTGTGTGTGTGTGTGTGTGTGTGTGTTTGTGTAAAGCCATACTTAGGTATTTAGTAGAAATGAAAATGTGTGTCTTCAGGAAGACCTGTCTATAAATGTTCAGGACAGCTTAAAAAAAAAAGAATTATGCTAAATCTACTCTGCCTGTGCTTTAGAAATGGAACAACAAAGCCTGAATGACAACACATCTCTTTACAGCATGGTTTACTGAATATTTTAAACCCACTATTTTACTGCTCAGAGGTCATTTTAACAAATTCGTTTTATATGACTTTCTAAATCCATTTTGTATGAATAATCAAAAACAGAAGTGAGACTGTTCTACCATTTACATTTACAAAATTTACTCTGTTGTTAACATTTTTCCACATGAGACCATATTTATCTAGCTCATTTTTTTTTTTTTTTTTGAGAGAGAGTGTGTCGCTCTATCACCAGGCTGGAGTGCAGTTGTGCGATCTCAACTCACTGCAACCCCCGACTGCCTGGCTCAAGCTATTCTGCTTCAGCCTCCCAAGTAGTTAAGATTACAGGCATGCACCACCACACCCAGCTAATTTTTGCATTTTTTACTAGAAACGGGGTTTCACCATGTTGGCCAGAATAGTCTTGATCCCCTGATCTCGTGATCCACCCACCTTGGCCTCCAAAAGTGCTGGGATTACAGGCGTCAGCCACTGTGCCCAGCTGCTCATTCTTTTTAATACAGGAATACCTTTGAAATACTGTGGGTTTGGTTTCAGATACTGCAATTAAGTAAGCTGCATAAATTTTTTGGTTTCCCAGCGCCTACAAAGTTACCTTAACACTATTCTGTAGTTTATTAAGTGTGCAATAGCATTATCTCTGAGATAGATAGATAGATAGAGAGATACCTTAATTAAAAGTACCTTATTGCTAAAAAAAAATGCCAACAATCATCTGAGTTTTCAGTGAGTAGTAATCTTTTTGCTGCTGGAGGGTCTCGTCTAGATGCTGATGGCTGCTGCCCAGGGTAGTGAATTCTGAAGGCTGGGGTGGCTGTGGCAAATTTCTTCAAATAAGACAAGAATGAGGTTTGACTCATTGATTGATTCTTCCTTGCGTGGAGGATTTCTCTGTAACATGTGATGCTGCTTGACAGCATTTTACCCACAGCAGAACTTTCAAAATTGAAGTCAGTCCTCGCAAACCCTTGTCACTACTGTATCAGGACCATCCTGGCCAACATGGTGAAACCCTGTCTCTACTAAAAGTACAAAAATTAGTTGAGCGTGGTGGTGTGTGCCTGTAATTTGTTGTTCCATTTCTAGAGCACAGGCAGAGTAGATTTAGCATAATTTTTTAAGCTGTCCTGAACATTTGTACATAGGTCTTCCTGAAACAT